CCAAAATTATTTCCCCATAAGTACAGGTCTAACCTTTTTGCCTCTAGAATAAATTAGAAACTCTTGTTTGGCTTCAAATGTGCACCAGAACAAGAGCCCCAGCATATTTTTAAAAACCTTATTGTGCCAGACTTCCCTTCTTCTTTGATCCAGCCAAACTGGCCTTCCTTACACATGCCATCTCCAATCTGTGGCTTGGTTTTGGCTTTCCCTCATGCCTGAACAACACTCCCGGTTCACATGCACCTTGTAGAATCCCAAACTTCTTTTAAGACGCACCTCAAGCACTACCTTCCCCAAGAAACCTTTCCTAATTCTCCCCAACCCTGCCCCAACTGCTGGTGCTCTTTCTCTCTGGTTACTTTGCATTTAACAAGCTTGTGTTAATTTTGTAATTATTCTGCATATACTTATTTGTTCTGCATATGATTATCTCCCCTCCCCCATCCCAAGACCTCCCCTCTTCCTATCTTTCCTATAACCGTGGAGGTTCACAACCTAGATGTCATCCTCAAGTCTCCACACTCTCTCACCCTTCCCCACATATCCAATCTATGGCCAAGTCCTGTTGATTTTAATTTTGCAACATCTCTCATATATGCCCCTTCTCCTCTGATGCTGCCACCACCCTGGTCCAATACCTCATTACTTCACACTTGGGCTATTAAAATAGTCTTCTGGCTGGTCTCCCTACTTCAGATCTGTTCCCACTCCAGTCCATCTTCCACTCAACAGTCAAACTGATCTCCCTAAAGAGCTGGTCTGACCATATTACCATCCTCCCCCCCTCTCACAATTCAATTAACTCTATTAATTCCATATTATCTCCAGTATCAAACAAAATCCTTTGTCTGGAATCCAAAGCCCTTCATAACCTGGTCCCTTCCTTTCCAGTTTTCTTACATCTTACTCCTTTCCCAAATCCCAGGGTGCTTTTTGATCTAGTGACACTTGCTTCCTTGTGGTTCCTCATACAAGCCACTCCATCTCCTGATTCCATGCATTTTCACTGGTTCTGCCTGATGTTTGGAACACTTTCCTTCCTCATCTCAATCTCTCCACTTCCCTGGCTTCCTTCAAGTCACAACCCAAATCCTACTTTGGCAAGAAGCCTTTGCCTATCTCCAAAGCTAGAGCCTTCCCTTTGTCGATTATTTCCAATTTATCCTGTATAAATTTTGTATGTAGCTAATATTTAAACTGTGCACTCCTTGAGAGTTTGTTCAAACTGGTTTCAACTAGCTTGGACTGGTTTGAGTCAGTTTCTACCAGTTTGAACTGGATTGAACTAGTTTAAACTAGAACCTGGTTCTTGACTAGTTTGAACCAGTTTCTACCAGTTGGAACTAGATTTGACTGAATTGAACTGATTTGGGCTGGTTTGAACTGGTTGAAATTGGATTGAACACACCATAGATGTTGGAAATGTAAGCACTGAGTTCTATTTAACCTAAAAAATACAGCGAGCACCTACTTTTTATTTGGCACTATGAGAAAAATAAGATTTCAAACTCTTAGAACTTTTTTTCTCTACCACTTACTTATGAATTTATCATATACAGTGTCTGGACAGTTCTTGTCTTGTGACTTCGTGTCATCATTTATCTTTTCATGTGTCCGCTCTTTAGTTGGACTTTAAGGGCCATTTAAAATACAATTGTCAAAATAGGGTAAGGTTAGGAAATCACCTGATTTTACATCCATAGAACCCCACCAGCTCCCTATCATTCTGCATTTTTTTCATCTCTACTGTATCTCTGGGACTGAGAAGCAATGAGAAAATAGTCATGTTGGATTATTTGCTGTTTTGTACTACTTAAGCCATCAATCACTTCCAGTAAGGAGAAAAATCAAAGTTAGGGCATTTTTAAGCACTTAAGAAATTTACTCCAACTTGTATGAACTGATACAGAGTAAAGAGGGCAGAACCACAAGAACAATTTATACAATAACAACAACATTAAAAAGACACACATCTTTGAAGTACATAAGAACTCTCATCAATGAAATGATCAACCACCATTCAGAGGACCCATGATAAAGGGAAGGGAAGAGGAAGGGAACAAGCATTTATTATGCACATATTATGTGCCAGGCATTGTACTGAATGCCTCATAAATGTTATCTTGTTTGATCCTTACAACAACCCCATGATGAAACATTCTACCTACCCCTTGACAGAGAGGTGATGGATACAAGATGAAGAATGAAACATAGGTTTTTGGACATGCCCAATGTGGGGATTTTTTTTTTATTTGACTATGTATGTTGGTTACAAGGGATTTATTTTTCTTTCTTTTTTTCCAGTGAGAGGAGTTGGAGAGGGAGAAAATAAATGCTTGTTAATTGAAAAAAAAATGAAAAGAAATCTCTTTAATTAAAAATACCAGCTTACATGTATATAGTACTTAATAGTTACAAAATGCTTTCCATCCATTATCTCATTTGGTTTTCACAAAGACCCTCTGAGATAGGCACGGCCATTAATTCCCATTTTACAGATGAAGAAACCAGGGCTCAGGGAAATTGACTTTCCCAAAGTCATATGTTTAATGAGCAGCGCAGCCAGCAAACAGAGGACTTCTGATTGATTCCAAGGAAAACACAGCAATTAATTATATTTTATCTGAATAAGGGAACTCATTAGGGTCCTCTAAGTGCCACCCCTCTCCCCACACCCTGTCCTTCCTCAAACTTTCCAGGGTGGAAGAAATGACAAATTACGAGCCACCAAGGTCTCTAACAGACCAGGGTCTTGTTCTTTTCCCAAGCCCTAGAAAGGGATGGCTTCCATCTATAGCTCACATTCTTGTTGCAGTCCATGGGCCCTGAAATGTCTGATTCTCAGAGCTCACTTATTCCTCACCCTGTACATCCAAAATGCCAAAGCCAACCCCAGGCCAGGCTGCCACAGGCTGCATGCTTGGGAGATAATTAATTACACATCCCAGTTCAACACACTGCACTTTGTCTTGTGCTGTGGAATCCGATTAGATAAAAATCTGTGCCTATCACATTTACTAACTCCATTTATCTTCAGGGCAGGACCCTGGGGAGCAGGCATAAAGATCTTACAGAGAGGAGGGAAGGGTCATGTGTGGGGGCTGGGCAAGGAGAATCCAGTTAGGAGGGCCAGTTACAAGGAGGAGTGAAAAGAGGGCATAGAGGGCTCTGGGAAGTCACGCAAGCTGTATGGGCCTTTATTCTTGTCCAGGTCTCCCTGTCCCTCTCTACTCTGCATGCCTCCTAAAGCGCCTGTAGTCCCTCATTCATTGGCCCATGCAATCTAATTCTCCTTTACATCTGGGCTACAATGTGGGTAGTGGAAAGGGCCCTTGTCTTGATGTCAGAAGATCTGAGTTTGAATCCTGACTCTGCCACTTCCTATTTGGATGATCCCGAATAAGTCACATCCACTGTCTAGGTTTCAGGTTCTTCATCTGTGAAAGGATAGGATTGGACAATATATATATAAAACTATATATTATCCCCATTTTACAGATGAAGAAACTGAGGCTGAGACAGGTTGAATGACTTACCCAGGGCCACAAAGCTAGAAAATGACTAAGGCCAGATTTGAACTCAGGTCTTCCTGACTCCAGGGCAAGTGCTCTAATGGACTGTGCCATCTAGCTGCCTCAGTCTAGCTAAGTTCCTCCACCTCAAAAAATGTGAAATCATCTAAGCTCCCCCCACCCCCCAAAAAATCAGAAAACACAAATGTTTCATGGCATAGCAGAAAGAGTCCTGTCTGGACTTAGACTCATGGGATCTGAGTTCAAATACTAGCACCACCACTTATAACCTTTGTGACCTTGGGCAAACCACTTTGCCATTCTGGGCCTCAGTTTCCCAATTCATAAAAATCAGAGGCCTGGGCTACACGGCCTCTGAGATCCCTTTTGACTCTAGATCTCTAATCCTATAACAACCCTGGGGCTGGGCCCTTGGACTGATCCAATGGTGAGACTTTGACATTTTGACGTAACTCTTCCTTCTCTGTGACACATGGGTCCATCTGAAGGTAAACCTGTCAGGTGCGCCTATATGGGTGAACACTTTAAGAATAAACCAAAAGGATCTCCTCCCACCCCCTCCCCCATGGTGGTGTATCTCTCTGAGTCTTGTTTCATAGATTGAATGAATGATTAACCACCCAAACAACTGGGGAGCTAAGCAAGATCTATTCTGACCTGATATAACCTATTAGTCAGAGCACAAGAATGACTCCTTTATTGTGGGAACTGGATGACCTTGTTGGAGTTTGGAGGAACAAAGATAACTTCATATTGATGCTGGGGTTGCAGGAAGAGGGTAAGCCTGTTATAATATAGATGTCAGTCCATCATGGATTTTCCACAGTATGGTAGAATCCTTATTTTATCTGTGGCATGATGGGATCTGTGGTGTGGTGTTTATTTTTTTAGTTTAAAAGAGTTTATTAAGCACCCATTATGTGCCAGGCAATGAGAATACAAAGACAAAAATGAGATAGTCCCTGCCCACAGGGAGCTTATATTCTACTGAGGGACACACACACACACACACACACACACACACACACACACACACGTAGGTAAACACACACACACAAGATAAGGGTATACGTAACCCATATGTGGTCTGTAGGGGGTCACTATCCCAGCTCCCACTTGCAACGGAAGGCTACCACTCTTGCCCAGAGTTCTAAGAGTAGCCTTAAAGAGCTGAGGATGTCTTTCTCTATGATGGTTATCATAGAGCCCCCACACAGTGTACGTCCCTGAAATATCAATCAACTAGTTACCATCTCAATATCAATTGACCAATTGTATCTCCTCAATATCATCTAACTAGTGATTATTTCCCTGATATGATTTTGACCAGTAAGTTCTTCAATAACATTAAAAAATTAACATCAATTACCTTTAACAAAAGGATATCTACTGGAAAAAGCATAGCTAGGACAGAACTGCAAACCCTCCCCTCCCCCCCCAAAAAAAGACATTGTACACACTGCCCTTAACTTGAGGTACTATTTAACAGAGTTTTGCTGTGACAGTCCTTTCTGGAACAGAAGTTAATGTCTAATCCCTCATGTGTTCTGGGAACCCAAGAAATCTTCCCATATCTTGCTGCAAATGATCACAGGATGTAAGCAGATCTGGACCCATGACCAGGAGCTGAGGCAGGGTCAGAGGACCAAGCATTTTGAAAGCAGGCAGGGCTCATGTAAACAGCTGGTCACTTTCCCATAGAGTCCAGGAGAGTAATGATCTGAAATAGATGAGAGAAGTCAGAAGTAAGAGGCAGAGTTCAGAACTCTGAGTTGGGTCTGGGAGTATGAAGAGGTTAGAAAGAGAATATGTGGATATTCATATCTCTCACAACTGCATAGATCATGGGAGCCCTAGTTTCACTGTTTTAAAAGCATGGCTCTGTAAGAATCTCCTTCAAGCAGCACTTCTCCTAGTAAAGGCTATTCTATCCAGGGGTAGAGGAGAAAGGAAAAATATATCTAGGTAATGATTTGAGGAGCAGGAGGCACTTCACTCCCCATTACATGAAAAATTCCCTTATGTCCTCAGAATCTGAAATGCTGCCATTAGACATTTATTTCTTTGGATAGAAACCATTGTCCCCTGTTAAGATTTGTGTTACCCATTGCCTAGAGCCTCCCCAACCTAAGACTCTAGGATCACACAGACTGAGTCTAATCTCAGTGGGGTAGCTTTGGGGCTACCCCTGAAAGATCATTTTTTTTTTACTTACTGCCTTACTTTTTACTTTAGGAAAACCTCTAGCTATATAGCTCATGAATAAATGAGTGCCTAGGTTTCCCCAAATGTAGTTAATGTGCTCCCTAGATACTATACAAACATTCAGGATAATGAAAGCATATAGATAGAGGACAGCTTTTATTTCACCACACAGAAAATGCAGAAGCAAATTATTCACAGAAATCGATAATCAGGTACAGAAAACAACAAGCATAGCCACAGTAGTTTCCCTCAGAAAGAAGTGGCCTTGGAGTTGCTCTGTGGTATTCCAGGGAAATCCCTTTCTCTTCCACATAATCCTACACAGTCTCTCTCAGACGTGTAGTTCCCCCTGTGGTTTAGACTCTGACTTTCCCCTCAAATGAGCTAATGTTTGTAAAGTGCTTAGTACAATGCCTGGATATCATAGGTACTTAATAAGTGATCATTCCCTTCCTTTCATTCCATTACTCCAAAGATAATACTGTACACTCTGGGGATGCTTGAGGAGCAACTCTCTTCCTACAGGGTCTATACTTTCTTGGGGTGAGAAGGCTCTGGGTAACACACATCTTTACAAGGGGAGAATGGTCTCTACCCAATGAAATGGATGTCTGTGACATATCAGGCACCAGGCAGATAATGAGGGGTGGTGGTGATGATAAGGTCTAGATTCTTTTCTCCCCCAAATGTTGGTCTTAACCTGTGTTGTTCTTCCAGTTGCAGGCACTATGTTAGTAATCCTTTCTTTTTTTCCAAGAAATCAAGAAATCCCTTCCTTTTTCTATAAAGTGTGAAATCGAAACTCTATCTTAAGGTCACTCTTGAAGCAACCTCCAAGGCCTCTGTTGCATTAGCAATCTTCCTTTTCTGGCTAGATGGCTAGATTGTAGGGCCATGCTGCCTAGAGAGTCCACATTTCTCCTCCACTACAAAAGGATACTGGTATATGGGAGCATTACTCATCAATTTTTCTCTTGAGTCACAGAGGCAAGCCCTGTCTGCTTCCACCATATGCTTCTGTAGAAGCTCCATTATCAGGGACTGCCATATCTTGGGCTAGAAGTCTATCAGGTTTTGGTCTCTGACCTGTGTTCAGAAAGCTGTGGGTGAGTATATGGAACTACCACGTGCTTATGCTCCAAAGTGGCTACTGATAATTCCTGCAGGTTAAGACTTCGTGCATGGACAGGTTTCCCTGACTTTCTCCTTCTATATCTTTCCACCCCTACTCCAAGCCCAGGTCAGCCCTGTCTTTTACCTTTCTTTGTATCCTCAGTGCTTAACACAGTGCCTGGCAAAGAGTAGGTGCTTAAAATGCTTATTGACTGACTGGTGGGTTCTGTTCTATCCTTTGGATATTGACTGACTGACTGGTGGGTTCTGCTCTGTCCTTTGGACAGAGAAAGGAGAAAATGAAAAAGGCCTAAGAATGGTTCGTCCCTCTATCTTATCAACCAATATAGAAAGGTAATTCCTCTGACTGGAATCCATCCCCTTGAGCCGAAGCAGTTAAGCAGTCATGTAAGGGGCAGACCTAGTCATCAGAAACTACTTTTATATGTGCAAAAATATTTATGGTAGCTCTTTTAGTGGTGGCAAATAAAACTGGAAACTAAAGGAATACTCATCCACTGAGGAATGGCTGAATAAATGGTGATGTGTGAATGTGATGGAATACTATTGTGCTATTAAGAAAGGAAGAGACAAATGACTTCAAAGACTCATGGAAAGATTTATGTGAACTTATTCTGAGTGAAGTAAGGACAACCAGAAGAACAATTTATCCTATAATATCATTATGACAAAAATGAACAGTTTTGAAGATTTTTGTAAACTGATGAAGGATGAAATTAGCAGAACCAGAACAATTTGTAAAACAACTCTGAAAACTGAAACAGCTTTGAAAGGTGTAAGATCTATGATCAACATAATGACCATCTCTAATTCCAGGAGACCAAAGAAGAAACATACCATCTACCTCTTGACAGAGGTAATGGACTCAGGGTACAGAATGAAATACATACATACAGAAATACACACACACACACACACACACACACACACACACACATATACATATACATATACATTTATATATGTATATAGACACACAGCTATGTACATACACACATATTGTTGTTGTTCAGTTGTTCAGTTATATCCGACTCTTTGTGACCCCAGAGATCATAGCGTACCAGTACTGTCCGTGAGGTTTTCTTGGCAAAGATACTGGAGTGGTTTGCCATTTCCTTCTCTGTGGATTAAGGCAAACAGGGTTAAGTGGCTTGCCCAAGATCACACAGCTAGAAAGTATCTGAGGCAATATTTGAACTTAAGTCTTCCTGTCTCCAGACTTAATGCTCTATCCATTGAGGGACTTAGCTGCCTCTGTGTCTGTATACACACACACACACACACACACACACACACACACACACACACATCATTCTACATTCTCTCACATACATATATAATGTCATTCTGTATCCTGAGTCCATATGCTCACATATATAAATATATATATATATGCATATAGACAATGAAAGAATTCATTTTGCTTAACTATGCACATTTATTACAAGGAATTTGTTTTTCTTTTCTCTTTTTTTTTTCCAATGGGGTAGGGCCAGGATGGAGAGAGAAATAGATTTAGGTTCATTAATTTTTTTAATAGAGAGGTTGGGGTGGGTGTGGAATGTTGTATGCACATTCAAATGAGGTCATGATACTGTTAGCTTTGTTTGATTGTTTGTTATAAGGGACCTCTCACAGAGTTGGGGTGATCTGGAAATGTTTGTAATGTAAAAACAAAACACACCAATAAAACATTTTTTTTTAATTCAATTTTTTAAAGTTCTCATCACTGAAGTCTTTGGCACCATCAAATGGTTCAACATCAGAAACAGATATGGTTTTATTGATGGCAGTGACAACAAAGATGCATTATCATCTGTCTTGCCTCAGGCCTATGAGGCCTTGCCATCTGATTTAGCCCTCCTTCATGTGTGGTCTCCCACTATTAACTTGCAATCTCATTGAAAGTAGGAACTGTCATACTTTCCTATTTGTTAGCACAGTGATTTCTACATGGCAAGCTCTTAACGCTTTTTTATTCATTCATTCATTCATTCATTCATTCATTCATTCGTTCATTCATGCTTATAGCTAGGGTCAAAGGTGGGATTTGAATCTAGGTCTCTCCTTTGTTCTACTGTACCAGGCCGCATCATCCCATATTTACACTGGATCCAAACCTAATGAAATCAAAGTACTTTGTAAACTTTGCTGATCTTTGAATAGTGAACAAAGGACAGATTTTATCAGAGCCTTAGCACAGTTAAGAAAAGGATGAGTGACTTTGGTCCAAACACCTAAGGGAAAGCTGGGAGTTGAATCAGCAATAGAAATCATGTATCTCAGCTCTCCAGTTACAGGTTCTAACCCCGACTTTGTTATTTGCTTCTAAAACTTTTTGGAAGTGACATGGAGCAGTAATTGCATTTTTCCTAATAAATTATTTTTCTTTTTTAAATTTTGAGCTCCAAATTATCCTCCTCCCTTCAGGCCCTCCCTCACTCATTGCAAAAGCAAGCAATATGATACTCATTATATATGTGAAGTCATGCAAAACACATTTCAATATTAGCCATATTGGAAAAAAAGTTAAAAGTATGTTTCCATATGCACTCAGAGTTTATCAGTTCTCTCTCTGGAGATAGACAGTATTTTCCATCATGAGTCCTTTGGGATTATTGTGGATCATTGTATTGACCAGAGTAGCTAAGTCTTTTGCAGAGAAATTATTTTTCAGAGAGAAACCCCTACCTCCCCCACGCTGAGTAGTTGTCTGTGTCCTCTAAACAAGGAATCAACAAGGATGTTTATACCCTCCATGGGAATCTTCCCTTCAGATGCCCTGAAGACTTACCAACCAGCAAACTTGCCAGCTTGGTTGGGCGGCTCATTAGATTAGCCTTCCTTAATCAATCCTAGTTACATGTGAATGCTCTAAAGGTTTTAACAAATGAATCCCAGTAGCCAATAATACCTTAGTATATGCAAGCATATAAGATTCCAGGTAATCATGATAATAAGAGAACTTATTTTTTTTTTTTGCAGAGGGATCATTAACAATCATGGGTGGAAATGAGGGTAGGGAAAGATGCTGAGAGGGTTGATAGCTGCACTGGGGACATAAAAGCACTTCTTTGGCTTTATAGAATCATATATTTATAACTCAGTCCAATTTTTCATCTGATGGACAGGAAAATTGAGTCCCAGAGAAGTTAAAAGATGTGCTCAAAGTCACACAGGTAATAATAAGAATGGCTAGCAGTTGTATGCAAATGTTGTTGAATTTGATCCTCACAACCACCCTCTGGGATAGGTGCTAATGTTATCCCCATTTTATAGATGAAGAAACTGAGGTTAAGTGACTTGCCCAGGGTCACACGCACAGCTAGTAAGTGTCTGAGACAAGGTTTGAACTCAGGTCTTCCTGATTCCAGGCCCAGC